TCACATTGAGGCGAGATGGTGCCTCAGATAATTTGGTCCTATGTAATAAAAAAGTAGTTCAGTCAATGGATAAAAGGCACAGGATAGATATCATTGGCACCTAATGGATCGGCATCATTGGTACCTTTATCCTCTCTTTGCATTACTTTATCATCATTAATGCTAAAATGCCTCTAGCATTTTATTAGAGACAGAATATAACATAACTTTGTCAGATTTGTTTAATTTTATAAAAGGTACAACATTTCATATATTCACCTAAATTTAGATACATTCTAGATAAATACAAGTTTGGAAAGTTTGTATGGTAAACTGCTCTATTAGGTTATGGTTATAATTAAAGCAATAATCCTCTTGGGTGTAAACAGTTCACTCACTCTCTTATAAAGCTGAAAGTGATTTTTGCACAGCATAATCATAGTTTCCAAGATAAGGACCTTTGTGAGAAGCCATAGCAACATCCAACATGTAAAAAATTGATTAGAACGACAGATACAGGCACAATGAGTAGGAATTAGATTTAAAAATGTGTCATTTAAGACAATTTAAACTACTAAGGATTTCAACATAAACAACAATGGAACAATGAAACATTTTTAACATCCATATTCAGTACTTCTCACAAAGATGTCTGTAAGTAGAACGATTAATATAGATAAAATTGGAAGACGGATATGAATAAAACTACCTTTAAATGCAAGATTCTCAAGGTTCTCCGGTGCTTATATCGTTCACTCAAAGCAATTTTTACACTTCTAAACAATGGTTCTATGGAAGGTGTATGTTTGCTTTCCAATATTTTGTGACAGTAAATCTGGCAATTAACAGAAACAAGAGAATTAATGTTATGGCATATGTGGATAGCAATTTAATAGTAAGTTAAAGTATCAAAAATGTTTATTTCCCAATTATCTACAAATGTTTAAAAATACTTAGGTTGGCCATCAAAAATGTATAACAATTTGAATAATAGCCCAATAATACAATTTTGAATAGTTATGACTGATACATGTAAATTTAGTGGCATGGTATATCATGCTTGTTTGTTTATTGTTAATTCTTGAATGCTTGCAAAGTAAACTTGAAGAGATGAGGTTTCCAAGCTGATTGAGTTCTTATCTCAAAGCATTTTCCTGTAAAATACTCATTTTAAAAATACATGCAATTTCCTTGATATTATTCGATTTATTTATTAAATTGCAGAACTCATGTGACCACCTATCTCATACAATGATCATAGGTAGCTCACAACATTAAAAATGCAACAATAAAGACAGGAATAAAAACAAAACCAGTGTTCCCACCAGGCACTAGTTCCTGACTCAACCCAATATAGCCAGTGCTTAGAAGAAGAGCCAGATCTTCACAATCTTCAGTAAGAGGTTAGGGATCCCTCAAACTCATATGGTAGACTATTCCAAAATGCTGGGGCAGCTCCTAAGAAATCACATCACACAGCAAAATTTAAGGAAGTGGAGCAGGAGTAGACTTACCTTATCTAAACTAGTGGGGTGGCCTGATACCCTTAGAGAAAGGCTGTCCCACAAGTAGCCTGACTTTATGTCATGTAGGGCTTTAAAGGTGAAACCAGCATCTTAAATTGCACTCAGGAAGCAATTGGGAGCCAGTAGCAGGGGTGTTTCTCAGGTCAACTGTGGGGTACGCAAAATTGCACATGACACTGTATTCTGGATCAGCTGCAGCTTCTGGATGGCCTCCAAGGGTAGCCCCATGAAGAGCATGCTGAAGTAACCCAAATTGGAGAGACTAAGGCATGAGTGAATGTGAGAAATTGAAGAATGATCATTCTTAAAACATTGATCACTATTTATTTTGTTTAGGTACCCACCTCCAAAGCAACTATGGACAGCTAATGATATAACTACTGATACCAGGTAAACTTAAAAGGCAATTTTTGAGCTTTTGTCATTTAAGCCAGTTGTGAGGTCGGACTACCTCTTCTGCAAATATATTCAGTAGAGATTTCTGGTTCTAGGATTTAAAGATGATTCATTCAAATTAATTATGAAACTAAGTATGAATTCCCTTTTCTGGGTATGTAGTAGGAATAGACAAAGAGGATAAATTAGTTTATATAGCTGCCTATCTTACACCAAGCAACTCTAAGCAACATATAACAATAAAACAACAAGTATATAAAAGCAATTATTAAAAAAGAAGTCATAATACGACCATCAGATACAGGAAATAACAAATTAAAGACAATTACAAAGCTTGAGGCTCACTGCTGAATATTTCTGCTTGCTGACATCTTGTTAAAACTAGATAATGATATAACAGCTGAACACATCCAATATAAATCCTGAAAGAGTTAAAAGAAAAAAGTTATTTCCTAAAAGTCATGTACTGTATTATCTGATGTATTAAAATTAGTTGAATGACTGGAGTAAAAAGAAGTTTCTGTAGAAATAAAAGATGAACTATAGATTTTGTTAGAAGTGAAGATTCAAGAGAAATGCTTCACTGCTTTCGAATGATTTTTTATCAAGTTGGAGGCTTTGGAAATGCTCTACTGCTTTGAAATGAGGTTTTCTACCAAATCTTAACATAGATGAAATAGTAATACTCAACTGAAAATAATGGGAGATTGATATCACCTTCAACTTAATTTAGAATTTGTCTGAAATGTTCATAGAAAAATAATGACAGATTTAATTCAAAGGATTAGAAATAATTCTATTTCTAATCCTTGATACGCCTGAAAGAGAAACAGTACCCTGCATACATTTATTAGCAATCTGTATAAGACTGTCAAGGACAGAGGTGTGTCTGATTTTGGTTTAGGTTCCTACTATTTCAAGATGACAAGCTGCATAAATTCATTGTAGAGGAGGCAAGGCAGATCCCCATAACTGAACAGGCTTTTTCAGGGGGAAAATTGAAAAAACCCAAACAACTATAATCAAATACAACATCATAACTTTTTAATTAACAATAAATACTATATTGAAAGACTTATGATGTGATGTAGCAGATTGTAATAAATAATGCCTTTTCTCTCTGATTTCAATGATCAGTCCCTGGACACCAGAAAATGACCAATCTAAGTATCATTTAAATAAAAGATTGGAGGGAAAACAAAGGGAAATAAAGGTCAGAAAATGTCTGTCCTGCAGAAAGTAACTTGGTTAGATAAAAAACCAAAGTGCCTTCTACAAAAATAGAAGGGGTTTTTCCTGGCACATCTCAATAGGCATGTACATAGACTGTTCTGATAGATATTGTATAGCTTTTGACCTTACCAGAGGATTCTAGGAAAATTAACTTCAATAGAAAAAGAGATCAGTTATTCACATAGATTTGCAACTGATAATGCATTGGAAATAAAGGGCCGCAGGAACAAATAGAAAATTGTGCTAAGTAGGCTTTCCCAAAGACGTGTATTAGGATCAGTTCTTTTTAGCTTTATGAATGAAAGCACAATCCTGTAACCATTTGGAGCATCCTTTGAGAGAAAGGAAGTGCAGAATGTCTATTACATTTAAGGCTGACCCATTGTTGGATGGTCCCATGATCATCTAAGAGTACAGATATACATAAATAGGAAGATAACTATAGGGGCAAAGGAATTTCAATAATAAGTCAATTTTGTCCTTAGCTAAACAGAGAAACAGAATGACCATGGGTTGACAAAAAAGCAATGGGAGCAGGAACAACTTTCTGTTGGCTTCCCCATTGACTTTGCTTGTAGGAAGTTGGCAAGAACACTAGAAATTGTGATATGATTGCAGAGACACTGCAATGATTATAACTTTACAAATAAAACTGGTCTGAACATCATGGAGTTTCAGGAGTTCCAAAGTAATGGGACCCAGATTTTTTACACATAGTTTAACTTAGCAGATTTCAGGTACCTTGATTCAAAAATTGTGAGCAATGAGATGGCAAAGATTTTTGACATCAGCAAATTATACAGTGATAAGTTTAAAAAAAAGAGATTCAGAAAGCTCCAAAATAATCACTCCAAGATGGGGGAAAAAAAAGGTAAATGCAGTTCAGTCAAAAGCACACAGTTATGTGAATTGATGCACCTTTCACCCTTTCTTTCACACTTTGATTGGATGTGAGCTGGCAGTAGCTGATCAAGATAATTTATATAGGAAATCTTAGCTCTGGCCAGCTTGAGAACTGGGGAGTCCTGGAAGAGAGGTCAGAGTGTTCAAAGCAGTATTTAGTTATGCTGATTTTGGAAGAGGGAGTGGAATTTCTTTTTTGTGTTAATAATGACAGGATCTTAGCTCTGGATCATGAAAAGTAACTAGTAAAAAGGAATAACAACAAAAGAAAACCTGTTTGCCTAATCTATGGCTTTTAAAGTGTAATCCGCAGACATGGAGATCTATTCCTATACTGCATTCCAAATATTGTGATATTAAATTCTAGGAAGTAATGGATTTTTTTAAAAAATAATGAATTTATACAAAATGGTATTTTCTACAACACATTTTATAAGGCGCTGCCTGTGGAGGCCATTTTTTGCAGTGCTGTCAGTAAGAAGATTCAAATGCAAATTGCAAGAGATTCGTGTGAACCTAGTCATTATATATTGCAGACAATAGCGACCCACAGATTCGAGTGTGCAATATATAAAGTGAATTAATACAAAATTAACAGGACATATTTCAGATACATCCTGTGCTACGAAGTACGGATCTGTGGACACCAACGTCATCTGTAACATAACGCAGGTTCTGGTGTTATTCAGTGCAAAACCCGGACGATTTGAGGTTTTTATGCCATGAACAGTATATGTTAATTGTGGCCTTTGTGGTGTCTCCGTACACCGATCTGATACACATGTGGGTACACCGACGTAACCTGTGTGTATGTGTGTGTATACACGCGTGCGTTCAATGCATCGCCACTCCAAGGAAGATAATAAACAAGGGATGAAGAGCATCTCACTGAATTCAGTGCCGCTTCTCCCCCAAGTAATGCTTACTTAGAGGTAAGGACGTTTACTAGACTGCAATCGCAATTGGTTGCAACGACGGCCAGACAGCGGAGTTACGCAACCTCCCACTTCTGCCACGAACATCAGGCAACGGTCCTCAGATCTGGCGCCTCGAGGTGTCGCGCGCAAAGGGGCGTGGCCCTAGGCCGGGCGTGCTCGGAGAGGCGCGAAGAGGGATTTGAGCACGTGAAACACCTCCTCCACGCCTCCCTTCCCCGCCCGCCGTTATTGTCTCTTTAAGGTCGTGTCGAGGGGTGGGGGCGCGCGTGGATGGCGGCGGGTTGTGGTGGTCTGAGCTCGTCTCGCGAGATCAGCGTTGGCGCCGTGACCTCCATGTGAGAGCAGCGGCGCTTTGGTAAACAGTCCTCGGGGTTAGGACATGGCTCCCGCCGGCGCCCGTTAAGCTTAGCCGAGCCGGCAGCACCCAACTAAGCTCTGACAGGGTTTGCCGCCATTCTGGGGGTGGCTCGCGAGAGCCGTTGCCGCTGGTGGGTTGCTTGAAAGGGATCGGGGGACGAACCTAGGAGGAGTCGAGCCTGCTGGCGGGTCGGGGAAAAAGAAGGAAGGCCGGCCGGTAACAGAAGCGGCTTGCGCCGCGGCGGTCCTCGAGATTCAGGCAGCAGCTCCTCATCGCAACCCCCGCTTCGCCAAGTGGAAAAATCCGGAGGCAGGAACCTCCCTTCTGCTTTTTTTTTTTTTTCTTCCCTCCTTCGGGAGCGCGCCATGTGGATCCAGGTACGGACCATCGATGGTGCCCAGACGCGGACTATCGACGACCTCAGCCGGCTGACCAAGATCGAAAGTCTGCGCGAAAAAATCCAGGAAAGCTTCCGCGTAAGCCCTGAACGGCAGCGCCTTTTCTACCGGGGCAAACAGGTGAGGCAGCCGCGACAGACACTCCCTCTGTCCCCCCCTCCCCGGCCTCTCAGGTGTGCATTGCTTGCAGCTTGAACTGCCGGCCAGCTGCTACGGCTCCTGTTCGGTCGAGAGGGTTGTCTTTACCGCCGTCTGAGGGGAAAGGAAGCAGCCGGAGATGCCATTGTGCTGAGGGAAAGGGACGGCGGCGGCGGTTTCGTTCCCCGCCTCCTCCTCCCTTTTCCCGTTACACGCGAGGCGTCTCCTCATCCGCTAGCGGTTTCCCGCAAGGCCGGGGAATGGGGGTTCCTACGCGGGACTCCCGAGAAAAGCGGGGCGCGCGGCTTCCCTCAGGCGGGGAAAGAGAAGGGGCCGGTGGCGCGAGTCGCCTCTCGTGCGCCTCGCGCTATTTCCGGTGCTTCAACGGTCTCCTTGGCACTGGGGCGCGCGCTCCCCTCAGCTGCCGCTTCAGGGAAAGGGCAGCTGCCCGGAGGAAGTTCATGTCTTCGTCGTCCTCATCGCTCTCGGTTCTTTACCCTCCTTTGTTTTTGTTTTTTCATTCCCCCTTTTCTCCCCTATCGTCCTGGTGGGAAAACTGCTAGCCAGCTCTGCTGGTGTTAAAAGAAAAAGCTTTTTTCTTCCAGCCACTGTATAGATAATCCTCGACTTACACCCATTTGTTTAGCGACTATTGGAAAGGACAGTGGCTCAGGGGAAAAAAATAGCGGTTTTTCACGTTATTAATCTAGGGCAGGCTAATATCAGTTTATTTTATTGTGCTATGTTAGGATTGTGTTCTGATGCAACGTTTTTAAATTATTCCCCTGATATTTTATTGTGATGACAAAATATAAGGAGAACTGCCTGTTATTAATGCACATGGGATTGGATAAATAGATAAAATCTATTTGTTTTCTTTAATCAGAGTTAAATAATATAGTAACACTTTGTGTAATCAAAATCATGGGTTACTTTATTACAACAAAAACCATACCTATTACTTACAATGGTCGATATTACATTATTTTAGGTTAAAATGATGGGGAACAACATGCACAGTACCTTAAGCTCTCAGAACAAAGATATGATGTAAGTGTACTAAATTAAAGCACATTGTGGTACCTTAAAAGCTGTCAGATTTATTAATGGAATAAGTCTCTTTCATTGTAAATATAGTTTAAAATAAATCTATACCATATTTTAGATTTCTTTTAGTGATTATGGCAGCAAAATTCATTAACTTATAATATCGATATTTTTACTGATTTATATAACTATGTTTTTGTTTCTGCTTACAAGCAAACAGCACATCAATATTTCTGGTGCTTTCTAAATGGCCATGCTGCCATTTAATAGTCCAACACACCCAAAGGATATTAGAGGTGGGTGTTTTGATCATAGTCTGTTTTTAACTGCTATCATCTGGTAGATTTTAAAGACTATTTTTATAGGGAGTCTCTGTTTAAATTCCATAATAATGACCATGAACGATAGATTTGGACAAGGAGAAAATAACTGGCCCTAAAGCAGGTAGTAAGTTTTCAAGGTTAAAAGTGGACTTAAACCTGAATCTCTCTGGTCTTAGTTCAGCATGTTAACCATTGCACCATACTGCCTATCTAAACTACAGTACATGTTGTGTTAAAATATTATGGCTACAATGACAGTCACATGGTTGTATGTAAGTTATCAGATTACTACACTGTAAATCTTAATATGAAGTTTACTGATACCGGTAGTAAGGAATCAAAAGCCAAGGACAGTTATAATGCAAGACAAGGACGCAGAAGAAGAATCGGTAATGGATGCTGTATGAGGAGTAATATTGCTTCAGCACTGTTTCACAACTGATTGAGATATATGGAAATATTGACACATCTCATCTTTTGTGTTCAAGTGCTGGCTGACTCTTATCTGTTTTTGAGCATAGGAAAATATATGTTTTGCTGGGGTGGTCTAATGGAAAAAGTAAAGGAGGTACAGATTGTTCTATTCGCACTGATGGTATTAATGCAGATTTCATGTTAAATCATGCCTTATTTAATTATTGCTTATTTCTATATTAAAATAGCTAGGTTTGTATAAAGCATAAAGCAAGCAAAGCTTACTATAGTAATTTGCAAACCTAAATCCAGCTATTTTCTCTTTCCAAATGTTTTCTTTTTCCATTACAGGTAGTCTTTGACTTATGACCATAATCGAGACCAATATTTCTGTTATTAAATGAGACATTTGTTAATGAATTTTCCCCACTTTGTGACCTTTCTTCTGACAGTTGTTAAATGAATCACTGCAGTTGATAAGTTAGTAACTTGGTTAAGTGAATCTAGTTTCCTCATTTGCAACCACAGAAGGTTGCAAAAGGGGATCACATGACCTGGAACACAGCAACAATCATAAGTATGAACTAGTTGTCAAGCATCTGATCACATGATCATGAGGATGCTTCAAAGGTCATAACTGAAAAACGGTTATAAGTCACTTTTCCAGTGCCGTTGTAACTTTGAACGGTCACTAAATGAACCATTGTAAGTCAAGGACTATCTGTTGCATTATTGTAGAAGAGGATATTGTTTTTAAATTGAAATTATTACCATCTTGATGCCCATGTTTTTCCCATAAAGGAAAACGCCCTTTTCTTCCTTTGAATAGTTACTAAATAGAAATGCCTAGTATTCTATGATTCTTAGCATGCATGATTTTTATTATTGAATCGATATTTAGAATTATTCTCTAACATACTATGCTACCTTATCCTTCATCTTGATGACAGGAAGAAAAACTGCTATTATTTAGTTTCTCAGCTTGTAATGAATTTGCGACAGATTCTTTTGTAGTGTCAGCATGCCAGATGGATTGTGAAAGAAATTGCATCTTTATAGGGTTCACATATCATGTTGTTCGTAGGATATACAGTATTGTCAGATTTCTCTGCAAGTACATGTAAAGCTATAATACTGTGATTGTGGCTAGAAATGTAATTGGGATTACAGTACTGCATATATTACTTTTTACAATAAGCATGTTTGCAAAGCATGACCATCCTTGCTTATGGTTAATTATGCCTAGAGGATCCTTCTGTAAAAGTACCAAGTTGCCCACCTCTGGTTTTAGTCTTAATTTTGTTTTTTTAAGGTTTTCATATCATTCAGACAGATTTGTTTCCATTCTGTCTTGTTCCAACTGGAAGAAAACATTGTGGCACATTTGTTATATAGTATGGCAACCTTAAATCAAAGTCTGCATGAGTAGTTTGAAACTATGCCAGTTGGGAGGAACCCTAAGCATACAATATATATAATTGAACTAAACTAGCCTTAATGAGTTACTTGATTATGTTATAAAGCTTCTTGTCCTAAGAATGTACTAAGAAAATACTAATGAGATTTGGATGGTGAAGCAAGGGTAACATGAAATGACTGTTTTTATTTTTTTTAATGTTATTTCAAGTTTTAAAAGCTGCTTTTTTAGGAGTATTAAAAAAAGCATAAAAAGCAGTTTTCTGTTTTCTTATTTATTTCTGGTATTACATACTGTTATAATGAAGAGAGTTCACATACTTCATAATTTTACTTTTAGATAGAGGCCAAATTTATCCTCTTCAATTAACAAGTATTTATTTTTATTTGTAACTATTGAAAATAGTTGTGGCAACATTGGCCATGGTGACGCAGTGGTTAGAATGCAGTATTACAGGCTAATTTGGCTGACTGTCAGCAGTTCAGCAGTTCGAATCTTGCTAATCAAATGAGAACCCATATTGTTCAAGGCAATATGCTGACTTTGTAAACTGCTTAGTGTTGGGTGTAAAGCACTGTGAAGCAGTACCCAAGAGGTCTTTGACTTACGAGCACAATTGAGCCCAAAATTTCTGTTGTTAACTGAGACGTTTGTTAAGTGAGTTTTGCCCCACTTTACAACCTTTCTTAGCACAGTTGTTAACTGAATCACTGCAGTTGATAAATTAGTGACACGGTTATTAAGTGAATCAGGCTTCCCAATTGACTTGGCTTGTTAGGAGGTCGCAAATGGGATCACGTGACCTTGGGACACAGCAACAGTCATAAGTATGAACCAGTTGCCAAACACCTGAATTTTGATCACATGACCCTGGGATGCTGCAACAGTCGTAAGTGTGAAAAACGGTCATGAGTCACTTTTTTCAGTGTTGTAACTTTGAATTGTCACTAAATTAACTGTTGTAAGATGAGATGCTACTGCTATTACCTGAAAATTATGGCATGAAGGTTTTCTCTTCAGAAATTCACCTTGAATATAAAGAGGACAAAGCTACTATTTTGCGTTTTTCTTCCCCTAGTGTATAAATAAGATTTTGAAAGTCTGAATGGAACTTACATTCTTGTTGATAATAGATGAAGGAAATTAATACAGTCTGGACCCCAGACTGGATCCCTTATCAATAAGATGAGGAAAAATACCTTCCCCAACATGATTTCCTGTAATTATACTAAGATCATATTGTAATTTTTTAAAAAATTGACTTGAACTTGCAACACATATGAGTGGCACATAGTTATAGAAGACTAAAGTAGAGAATGGGATTTGAGTTTGTGCCTCTAATACATTTGTTAAAGTTTGCTTTAACCTGCATCAATAAATGGCCATTTGAGTTCCATGAGTGGAAGATACATGCAATCCTTGACTTACTATGATGATTGAACTTTGAATATGATCATAAGTCATTGTGGTTGTAGGTCAAGGCATCAAAACAGCAGATCGGATTTTTTGACATTTTTTGCAGTAGTGATTAAGTGAATCAATTTCCCTGTGTGTCTTTTGCTGGAAACAATGTAAATTACAGAAATCAGAAAAAAAGTGCATCATGGTCATGTGAATGTGGGACACTGCAAATGGCCATAAAGGTGAGTTGCTTGCTAAACACCCAAAATGCGATCACATGACTGCAGGGCAAGGGGTGCAGCAATAGTAACTTTGGAAACAGATCGTAAATAACTTTTCCATTGTAATTTGGAATGGTCACTAAGCAAACAGTCATAAATCAAGGACTGCTTGTAAAATGCTGAATTGTAGAATGTCTTCTGAAGCAAAACTGATGACTTTATCAGAATTCAGTGGCCTAGTTTCTATTGTTTGCCTGATTTTTCCTGAAGTGAAAGTGTGGGGAACTAAATTCCTAATGCCTTCCCCGGCGTTGCAAAACAGGACTTCAATATTAACTTGCTGTTACCATATCTCAAATTCACTTTCAATTTTGGGAAGAGTAGGAAATGTTTTAATTGCTTTTGCAGAATCTGAAAATAGGGTAAGGGCAAGATTTGGCAACATTGTTTGGCCCTAGTGTTGCTGGGCAGGTGGCAGTGTCTTCAGCAGTAGAGTTGGAATAATAACTTGAAAATCCCCTTTCTTTCACATGTTAGATATATCAGGTATTTACTGATATATAAAATTAAAGACTCCACTTTGTGTCACTAGTTAATTCTGAGACTGAATATAACTGAAACAACTGTACATATTTAGAAAGTTTAACGCACCATTGTATATGAGATTACTGTATCTCCCATCTCTTTTTGTTCCTGTGTTTTCCTTCTAACAGGAAGGAAGTAGTGAATTAACATATCACACTTTAATTGGAGTTCTGGAATGGAATAGAATAGAATAGAATAGAATTCTTTATTGGCCAAGTGTGATTGGACACAAGGAATTTGTCTTTGGTGCATATCCTCTCAGTGTACATAAAGAAAAGAAAATACATTCATCAAGAATCATAAGATACAACACTTGTCTATCACTTGTCCTATTCTTAGTTATTGGATTATTAACAGAGTTAGAAATTGTAGAGAATATTCATAGCTTGGGTTGTAGATTTAAGCAGAGGTTCGTCCTGCAAGCTTGCTACTTGGCTCCTGGATGTTTCGTTACCAAACTAGGTAACATCTTCAGCAGAATTGAAGATGTTAACCTAGTTTGGTAACGAAATCTCCAGGAGCGGAGCAGCAAGCATGGAGAACAAACCTCTGTCTATAAATAGGGTTTTCTGGGATAGGATGACTTTTTGGTGCTTTTCCAGAAGTTAAATCATATAACTAAATCCTTTTCCAGTATCATTCTTTAACTAAGGAGTAGTTAAATCCAATACTAATCTGATATTTGGCTCCAGACTTCCCTTGAAGAGTACTTTGCTGTTTCTTCTATTGGAGAAAGTAGTGGTAAACAATATTTCCTTCCATAGACCCTGAAAAACTATTTTGGATATCAAATAACTCTCTGGAATGGTGTGGAAAGTTTCCCTGTAAAGGGAAGGAAAATTTTGTTTTATGTTTATTTAGTTGTAAAATAGAAACAGAAATATACTAAATAAATAAGTATATTATGGCATTTTGTTCAATGAAGCTTTTTACATTTTCATTGAGAGTTCTAAATCCCCTAAAAACCAAAGATAATATGTCATTAATACCAGCTATTCTGTGCATTATAGATTTTATTTTCATGTAAGCTTTTTCTATTTTTAATTTTGAGGTTTTTGATTTCTTATAATATGTATTTTTCTGATGGATTTTCTTTTGCATTTTTTTAAATAGCTTGAAGATGGCCATACCTTATTTGATTATAATGTTGGACTGAATGATATAGTTCAGCTTTTGATACGCTCAGAGTCTGATGTTCCTTCTATAATTTTGAATAAAAAAGATGGAAAGCCTGGTCCCTGTGTGGTTACCAACTGTAAGAATAAAGTCAAACAAGGAGTGAACAGTGGATCATCAAATTTGCCATCTACATCATCTCGCTCCTTTCTTATAGATCCTGGTATTGGTGAATATAAGGTATGTTTTATTTTTTAATGTTAACTTTGTCTCCTACTTACATTTCCAAACTGGTTGTGAATTCATTTTTTAAAAAATGAGGACTACTGTATATATTGAATGCCTGTTCTAAAACAGGAAATATTCTATAATGATTTCATCTAGTTTAAATCTGCTAGCTAGAACAGAGAAGTGTTAGTGGAAAAGCAACTTAACCACCCCCTCCTCTCCACAGCAGCCTCCAGCTTCATATTTTTTCAAAGCTTCAGGGCTCTCTAGAACAGTGCCCCACCAACCTTTTAGGTACCCAGGGCTGGTTTTAGGAGAAAGGTTTTTCCGTGGACTGGAGGGTACGTGGTTTAGCATGCTGCCTTTATCCCATGAGTGGGGCTTCGCTTCTTTGTGCGGGCTGGTTTCTGGCATACTTCGGACTGGTGCCAGTCCATAGATCAGGGGTTGGGGACCCCTACTCTAGAATGAAGTGGCTGGTTCTGCTAGGCAACTATAACAAAGAAGAAGATATCAGATGGAGGCAATTTCTGTAATCAGAAATATGAATTGGCCAGGGGTTTTATGCAGCCTTTTCTAAACTGTCTCCTTTTATATACTGTATATTGGACCAAAAGTCCCATGATTCCAGAATTAAAGTCTGCTGGGTGGAAATTATGGGGGCAACAGTATATTTGCATTGGAATAAGTTTGGAAAAGATTGTTTAATAAATAATAACTATTATTATTTGGGGTGTCTTCCAAGTCAGTCTAAATTCCTGATAACTACCAGGACAAGGCCCTGCAAATGTTTTTTACAAGATTTTGGAAATGATTTACCATTGCTTTCTTCCTAGGACTTCGAGAGAGTGACTGGATCACAGTCACCTAACTGACTTTGTATCTGAGGCAGGACTAGAACTCATAGTTTCCCATTTTCTATCCTGGTGCCTTAGCATCAAATTAGCTCTCTTAAATTAACTAATTAAAAACAATTAGATTTCTATCCTACATTTTCTTTATGGGCTAAAAGTGAGTTGTCTTGCATCTCCATTTAACCCACAAAAGCCTGAAGAGGTAGGTTGGGCTAAGAGATTTTCTGTGTTAGGGCCTTCGTGTTTCTGGATCCAGGGGTCTTCAAACTTGACAGCGTTAAGACTAGTGGACTTCAACTCCCAGAATTCCTCCTCCAGTCATGTTAGCTCAGGAATTTTGGGAGTTGGAAGTCCACAAGTTTTAAACTTGCCAAGTTTGAAGACCCTTGTACTAGATCAATACTATAGAACACTGGTTATTTATGTAGGCCAGGGGTGTCAAACTCACGTTGTCATAGTGGCGGTGTGTGACATGTCGGAACTTTTTTCCCATTCACTAAACCGGGCGTGGGCGTGGCCAGCATGTGACGCATCCAGCCTGTGGGCTGGGTATTTGACAGCCCTGATGTAGGCTATTCATATAGGATTTATTTTTGTTAAATAAGCAAAACAAAATTTTGTTAATTTTTTGGTTAAATAAGGGGAAATAACAGAGTTTTCTTTCTCGCCCCATCTTTCTGCAGTGCATGTTTTTTATGTTTTTCCAAATGTTTTAATATATTTTAAATTATTAATAACAATAGTTGCCTTTGCATTTAGTATGAAAATCTGCCCTAGGCAGTGATGGATTAAGGCTCACTGGTGCCCTAAGCACTGACAAATCTCAGTCCCTTCCTTTGTACATACTGTACAAACGAAACCAAGCTTAGGCTACATAAACGTTTTTGTGGTGCCCCCTTTTGGTCCTGGTGCTTAAGCAGACATGCTTAGTCTGCTTAATGGTTAATACACCACTGGCCCTAGGCATCTCGACATAATATGTTAGTTGATTGGAGACAATCATTTGCTTATGGATCTTGTGTGTGTGTGTTTTTTCTTTTTACAAGAAATAGGACAATAGTTACATTTACTTTTCACCGTTAATATTATACAGTACCTGGTTCTAAACACTCCATTGACCAAACAAAAACCAAAGATCTTTCTGCTAAGCTGAATTGACAATGAGAAAGCATGAGTTATTAAAAAGAGGGAAGTGATGGAAAATTTATATAACATTTATAACTAAAGATTCCTTTACTTCCAAATGACAATCACTTAAATATGAGCCAGCAGTGTCTCAGCTGCTAAAAAAAGCCAACACAGTTCTAGGCTGTTTTAACAGAGATCAAGATCACTTGAAGTGTTACTACCACTTTATAATGCCCTGGTAAGACCACACTTAGAACATTGCATCCAGTTTTGGTTGCCACAATATAAAAAAGATGTTGAAACCCTAGGAAGATTGCAGACAAGAGAAAGAAAGATGATTAGGGGACTAGAGGCTAAAACATGCGTAGAACAGTTGCAAGAATAGGATATGTTTAGTTTAATGAAGGACTAGCAGGATTCCAATATCTAAGGTCTGCCACAAAGACACGGTCAACCTATTCTTGTCCTGAGGGTAGGAAAAGAAACAGTGGATGGAAACTAATGATAGAGAGAATCAACCTAGAACTAAGGAGAAATTTCGTGACAGTTGGAACAATTAATTGGTAAAAAGGCTTGTCTCCAGAAGTTGTGGGTGCTCCAACATTAAAAGTTTTAAAGAAGAGATGAGATAGTCATTTGTCTGAAATGGTATAGGGCAGGGGTTGCCAACCTTTTGGACCTCAGGGACCACCAAACATAATTTTAGATCCCAGGGACCACTAACTGGTCCTGTGGGTGTGGCCTAATTTGTGGGTGTGGCTTGACAGTCATGTGACTGGCTGGGCATGGCTTTTATGCAAATATATAAATACTTATATAAATATTGAATTTTTTATAAAAAAGAGCAACTTTTACCCAAAATCAGGCAAAGCAGGCAGATTGAGTTGCTCACAGAATCATTCAGTGATCTATCTATCTGCCCATCGGCTAGCTCAGTCTCTCAAATTTGCTTGCCCTGAATCTGCACTGAATTTGCTTGCAAGCAAACCTTCAGTCCTAAGATTTGGCTGTACTTAAAAGCAGAGCCGAAGACCTAAAGACTAGCTAGAAAGCAAGAAATCCAACCATTTCCTGCTTCCTAGCTAATCTAAATCTCCCAGCACAGCAGAACAGATGATGGTCGGAAAAAGGAAAAATAGAAATTTAGCAGGCAAGTTTGCGGGGTAAGGAGTGAGTGGGCGGGGAGGGTTCCCACGGGCCATGTGGGCAGCACAGCCTTGTGTTTCTGCGCAGCCTGGATTAATTGCTTTGTGGGGGTGCTCTGGGGGTGAGATTTCTCTGTGGCCCACCAAAATTTTCTCACGGCCCACCAGTGGGCTGTGGCCCACCGGTTGGCAACTGCTGGTGTAGGGTACCATTTGAGCAGGGGGGACCTCCAAGGTCCCTTCCAGCCATTCTGCTTACTGAGATTAAACTTTTTATCAAAAAATTTCTTTGTTATGGAAGTTTATCAAGAGAGTATTTAGGGTATCAACTGATTAGGTATAATTTCCAATTTAACATATTAACTATTTCTTCTATTAAAGAGAAAAAATGATATTTTTTATTAAAAATATGAAGGCAAGACCAAATCAGAGAAAATTCAAAATAATTATTATTGTGCCATAAGCAATAATAAAACAATTAAGTAGAAATAATGCCATGCTATATCTGTACATATGCCTGCTGGTTATCTGTTTGCAATCTCCAATTGGTAGGAATGGTGCATCACAGGGCAACAGTTGTTGAATTAACATACCTCGAATAGACTAACTTGAAGAATGCATCCAAAATTCCAGGCCTGTTGTAGTTCCCTATGGCAAAGTTGTAGTTGCTCTAGGGCTTCCATGCCTCTGCTGTCTGCCACAGTCACATAATTGTAATTTCTAATGCTCTCTTCCAGCTTCCTACAAGGAAAGTCAGTGGTGAAACCAGCAGGAAATCGGAAATTGTTTCTACTCTCACTGCTTTATTGTCTCCCATGGTCATCATGTTTCTCTGAAATAATTACCCAATAGGTCACAGTTTGTCTAGTTAAAGTTTAAAATGTCTGTTGACTAAATTATATGGTGTAATGCTTGATGTGTGCAGTATTGGGATTCTAAATCAGGCAAAGAAACTTCGATTCTGATGTAGCTTCCCTTGAGGTACCTGTCAGTAGTCCTTAAGGAGCTATGTTTTTTCCTTGGCTTGAACTGTAACTACCAGGGCTCAGGAAAATAGGAACTATGAATGTGACAGTTTATTTCTTGGTTTACTCTTTTGGTTCCTGATTTTTGTTGAAAAATTTTTAAATAATGATTATGGAATCTCTGAAAATTAACATTGATAATGTAACATTGAGAATTTTATTACAGTACCATAATTTGATGTTTTTATTGTGACTGCAATTTTTTAAAATAATACTTTGCTGGTTTCTGACATGCTTTTATAAGCTGTATTCCATGTGAAACTATGTGGCTGAAAATGTAAAAGCCTTTTTGCCTTGTTTAATATTCAGTTACCATAGAAATTTGTTGAAATGCTGCAGTTAGAATTCAAACATTGTTAATAGTTCAGTTCTTAGAAGCCATTTACCTATGCTTCTAACTTCAGTGTTGTAACTGAAGTATGGTCATAACTCTTATTCTTTTTATGTCAGAGAAGTGCTATTTCATTTGTGAAGTTTATGATCTAGTAGTTCCAGTGAATGGATTATGACCAGATTCAGTCCTTAAATAGTTTCATTCAGCTCATCGTCTGTTACACTTATCCCTTCATTTCTCTGTATAGAGGATAAAGCAAATGGAAGCAGTGTTCAGTTTCAGAGGGACAAAGTAGTAGGCATATAGAATGGCTGGAACAAGAAGGCCCATCATTTTTATAAAATAGTACTATATGTGGCCCAGTATTTTTGTTAGGTTCAAGTTCATATATGAATTCAGCTCCTACTATTTGTCTGAATGTATTTTGGAATCAGAGGTAGTATTCAGCTGGTTTGGACCGGTTCTGACATACCGGTAGCGGAAATTTTGACTGGTTCAGAGAACTGGCAAATACCACCTCTGGATG